TCGGGTAGGTGAAAGACCCGAGCTAACATGGGGTTAGCTCGTTGAATTACAATAAAGCCTCGTGCAGTTTGCAGCAAGCTCTCAAATCCGCCTGGTGATTGGGGTGACCGGGAAAGTGGCTTGGGACCCCGGATACTTGAGTTTTCGGGGGTCTAACAGGATAAGAGTGAGTCTAGAGTATTCATGAGTCCTAAGGTCAGATCTCTTCTGAATTGTCGCTTGCAGTTCTATGAAAAGGACTCTACTTTCAATCCTTAGAACACTCCGTTAAATCTAAATATCATGACCTCTGACTCTGGTTCAAATAATGAGAAACCATGGCTCTGTTGTCAGTCCTGTAATTTGATCACTAGTAAGAGGCTTCAAGGCTGACGATTCAGAAACAAATTCAGTTTAACTCTTGCTTTAATAGTATGAAAAACTATGAGATTTGGTATACCTCTGAGGACACCATAAATGGAGCAAATAAAAGCTATTTAGAAAAAAAAGTAAACACCGAAATATCTTGATGTGATAATTGGAAAGTCCTTAGCCCTCAGATACTGTCCCTTTCAAATGATGGTGTTGGGCATAATTTTTAGTAGAGATAACTTGAAAGTATTCTTTTTGGTTTTTTATTTTTTTAAATATTTTATTTTTTATTATGTATACAACATTCTGCTTCCATGTATATCTGCACACCAGAAGAGGGCACCAGATCTCATAACAGATAGTTGTGAGCTACCATATGGTTACTGAAAATTGAACTCACGACCTCCAGTTAAGAGCCAGGGCTCTTAACCTCTGAGCCATCTCTCCAGCCCCCTTAACTAGTTTATTATAGGCCCAGCAGAGTAGAGAGACTAAGAGAGAAGAGGAACAGGGTTAAGGGCTGACCACCATGGCCAGTCGCCATAAAGAGGCAGAGAGAAGAGAAGCAGAAGCAGAGAGAGTGTAGGCAGGAGAAGAGAAGAGAGTGTTAAGTGGCAGGGTGTCTATCTTTTAAAGGGGTCCTCTATACCTGCGTGCAGATTTAGTCCCCATGGAACCCTGGGCTGACCAGGGTACTGCCTAAGTGGATTCTCGGTAACAGTGGCAGGCCAACATAATGCCTGAAACTTTCAATCCCGCCTTTACTTATTATTAAAAAGATGGGGTGTTAGACATGGCAGATTAAGGAATAAGGGCATTGAATTCTCAAGACCGATTCCTGCTGACATGGGGGGCATTGACCATCTTTGGGGGACCTGAGAAGGTTGGAGTGCTTCCACATTCTGAGGTAGCTGGTTGTTTCATCGCAGTCCAGACTGTATGGAACTCCCTGGCATCTCTTAGACCTGGCAACATGTTGGCAGAGCAGAGAACAACGTTAAGTTTAGAAAAAAAAATTTTCTTAGGTCCTGGCACTTGAGGGGAAGATTGTAAGATGAGGGAGGGGTTCCAACACGAGGGAAGGGAGTCCTGAAACCAGGGAAAGATTGAATAACTGGAGTGAATCTGACCTGTTTGTTTTGATCCAATTCGGCTCTCTGGAACTTATAAGAATCCTTAGAGTTTGTGGAAAGATAGTATTAGACACATTAGCAACTTATTCATGTTAGAAGCAACATTTTTATGTTTTTATTTAAAAGGGGGAAAGAGAAAGCTGCGGGATGAGACATGTTGACTAGTTTATTATATGGCCCGGCAGAGTAAGGAGACTAAGAGAGAAGAGGAACAGGGGTAATAGCTGACTGCCATGGCCGGTTGCCATAGAGAGGCAGAGAGAGCGCATAGGTGGGAGAAAAGAAGAGGAGAGAGGAGAGAGTAAAGAGAGAGTGGCATAAAGAGAGGAAGCAGAGAGAGAGTAGAGAGGAAGCAGAGAGAGAGTAGAGAGGAAGCAGAGAGAGATTGAAGCAGGAAAGTTGGAGCTTTTAAAAAACTCCTTTTGTTTTTTTTAAAGTTTCATTTTCATTTTATGTGTTTGAGTATCTTTCCTGTGTGTATGTCTGTGTACCATGTGAATGCAGTACCCACATTGACCAGAAGAGAGCATCAGATCCCCCTGGAACTGAAGTTAAAAATGTTTGTGAGCCACCATGTAGATGCTGAGATTTGAAATCTGGTTCTCTATAAGTGCAGTCAGGGCTCTTAATCCCTTAGCTGTTTCTCTAGTCACTATGTATTCAAGGATGACCTTCAAGTCGTGGTCCTCCTGCCTCTACCTTGAAAGTGCTAGGATTACAAGTATGAACCAACACATTCATTTTAAGGTTATCTTTTTTTGTGTTTGTTTTGAGGTAGGGCTTCGTTTTCTTTTAGGCTTATCATTGCTTGTTGTTTCTTTGTAGGTAATTCTTTCACAACCTGTTTTTATTTTATCCACATATTGACTTCAGCCCTTACATATCATATATCAATTGCTCTCTTTTTCTTTCTTTCTTTCTTTCTTTCTTTCTTTCTTTCTTTCTTGGCAGGGTGAGTTGTTTCAAGACAAGATTTCTCATTCTGTTCTGGAATTAACTTTGTAGACTAGGCTGGCCTCAAACTCACAGAGATCTACCTACCTCCATCTCCTGAGTACTAAGGAATGTGCCACCACTATGCAGCATAAATTTCGTTTTTTGAGACAGGCTTTACTATGCTGAGCAGGTTGGCCTCAAACTCTTGGTAGGAAAGTGATCCTTCTGACCCTCTCTGTCCAAGCAGTTGAGATTACTGACATGAGTTCCTGTGCCCAAGTGGTTTTTGTTATTGTTGTTTGATTTGTTTGCTTGCTTTTGAGACAAAGTCTCTTTGTATAGGCCAGACAGGCCTCAAACTTGAGCCCTTGCCTCAGCCTCCCTAGGTGTACTCTGCCTGACTCTGTAGCTGTTTAGAAGGAAGTATCTCCACAATTTAGTTGAATATTAAATGGGCTGATGGGGGTCTGAGTTTCTAGATTTTTATTTTTAAGGGATTCCTCTAAAGTGTGAACCAACATTTCACAAGTGCTTCTGTCTTTCCAACACTGTGTCTTTAAGGTGTGAAGACAAAAGATTAGATTGTAACTCACAGGGTTAATTTATTCATGTATTTTACCACAGTCAGCATGTAGTTGTTTTCCTCTAAGAGGCCCAGTTTCCAAAACACAACCTTCAAAATATCTTCCTTCTTCACAAGGCTCTTTGTATTCAGTTAAGCCTTTGATTTTTGCCAGCAATTCTGTTACTTGCCATCTGAGCAGGACCCTGGCTTAGAATTCACTCTGTATGACTGTTTTCATGACATGCTGAGCCACCAGTAAACCGCAAAGCATTAAATGAAACGCACATCACAATTTTCTGTATGACTGCCTTCTAATCTAGAACTGGGTAACAGAAACTGAGCCTAAGGAATATAGAACCAAATCTATTTCCACAGAAGAGTTCAGGATTTCCTAGGGCTTTATAGGTATTCTATCACTGCTTTTGAAAAACACTAATCTTGACCACTAGCTTTCAGTGATTCTTAACAATGATCATTTTTATAATCATGCAAATTAGTGGGTTTGGGAATGCAAGTCAATATAATGAGTAAAGTTCACAGATCTAAGAAAACTGTCTTTTCCCTTTGCTATTTAAAGGTCCCTTTTCAGTTCCTTAGAAAAGTATTTGCTTACTTCTCCCTAGTGATTTCAAAGACTCCTATTGTGTCTTTACGGTCGAAGGACATTATGTTAACACAGTACCTCAAGCTCACTCTCTGCATATGATGCCAATTCGTGTGATTTGCTTGAGACAAACTTGTTTGCAACCTTTTAAAGTTGCAATCTCCTTCTTTAAACAACAGATTTTTGCTCCTGCTTGATTAGCAGAATGACCCACTTAAGGTGTACTTCAAAAAGCATTTTGTGTGGGATGAGGTCATTGGGGAGAAGTTTTTTTCCCTGATTTTCATCGTTTCATAAACCCACCTTCACATTTTACTTGTACAACAATGAACTTATTCATTATGTGAATCACTCAGTTTCTTTCTTTCCTTCCCAACCCATTTTCTCCCCATCCCATTCTTTATTTTGTGGCACCAGAGATGAAACCCAGGATATTGCAAACACCAGGCGACCTCGACCATTGATGTTCACCAGCTCCTGAGAACTGTTGGAGGAGTATTTTGATTTTACATATAACTTTGGTTACAAGAAAAATGAGTAAGATGGGACTAATAAAAATGCTTACGCTGAATAATTAAATCAAAGAGTAGTTTATTAAAAAAGAATCAAAACAGGAACTCTAAGTACCAGTGTGTACATTGTACACATTTAAATGACTCACAAGAATGAAGTTTTGTTTTTCCTATATAGTAAGATCATATCACCTTGTTGTTCACTGAAAGATGTTCAAGAATTCTGCCTCCAAACCACATACATGACTGCCATTTTAAACAGACTGCATTTCAAACATGCAACAACGCCACTGGTAATAAAGCTTTGGAATTGGTGTTCATGCTATTATTTCACTACAAACAAGATAGAGAGCAAGATAAGTTGAGAATTTATTCTAAAGTATAATGGAGGTTGTCATTGTCTACAAAGGCACTCCTTACTCCTCTGCTGCCATTTTTAGCAAGTACTCTTTGTCAATCTTGAAGAGCCTCCATCCCTCTTCACTGGACAGGTCAGAAGCACCTCTTCGTTTGTAGAAGTTGATAGATGGTTCATTCCATTCTGCTACCAAGAAGTGCATACTGCTGCAGCGACACTTCATGGCAACCTAGTACAAGAGAGAAAACATAAGCCCAGTGACATTTCACCCTCTTGCCAAGACCCAATTTTGATTCATTCATTACAATAACCCAATAACTCTTACAAATTCAGAAGCCTAAATCTAGGACACCTGGGTGTATGTGATGGGCCACAACTATGATCCCAGCACTAGGGAGGTGGAGACAAGCTTGAGGCCAGCCAGGGCTACATATTAATACTAGGCCAGTCTGGGATATACAAAGAAATGCTAGTGAACATACCTGGCTTAGATTCTTCAAAATTTCTGATCCTATGCCAAACCCTAAAAGAAAGCAATACAATTTAGCTTAGTCATTTTAAGGCCAAAGGCTCTGATTTCTCTTTAAACTGCCTCCAATCCCAAATTCAATTGTACCTCTGTAATCACTCATCACAAAGAAGTCTTCAAGATAAAGTAACTTGCCAATCCATGGGTCATAGGTAAAATAGTACATGGCGAAACCAACAATGCTGTGTCCTGTAATAAGAGTATCCCATGAGATACAGAGAAGAAAAGCAAACCATTCAAGCTGTATTGGCAGAAACAGAAGCCTATCATAGATTGTAAGAAAATACACGTGCATGCATCATGGAAACAAGTAGTCATGAACTGGACTGCCTCCTCATGTTTATGCTAGTACAGTGCAGACCGATGATGGACGATCTCTCTGGTCTCAGACATGTATTTGCAAAAAGCACACATTAGAGCTAGCTGAAGCTAGGCTACACCTGTGGACTGGCTAGTCTGCAGTCTGCTGGACTCACACTCAGGAAATGAGAACACTTTCATTACTTGCCAGAGCAAAATTGCCACAGACTTAAACTAAACACACACATTATTCACATCCTGATGACATACTGGTATGTCAGCTTGGCAAAAGTTGGGTTTACACAGCAGTTTAGAAGAGGAAATATTTGTAGTTTACCAACTCTTGCTTCCTTAAGGTCAGAACACCAGGCCAAAAGTACTATGTTTACTTTCAGAACTTGTCTTCCCATGCATAAATTTTCAATTTACTTTCCCAAGTTTTTAAGGCAGGAGAAGTAGCAGTAACAAGAATCCAGTGTTACGTAACACCCACTTACTTCTAAAAGCCAGCTTATCCCTTGGGTGTTCTTATTACATTCTAGCCTCGGGAACAGACGTCAGAAGAAAATTGAAGAAATCATCCACCCAAGCAACTTCCCCTTTTAGCCCTCTTCTGACCAGTCAACAAGGGTCAGCAAAAAAGAAATACATAAATAAAAATAAAAATAAAACCAATTCAAAATTGACTCCCTCAAAAGGAGTGTCAACTCAATTCCAAACGGAGGCAATGGTTGCAAATTAAACTTTCTAGCCATTTTCTATTTCTTTGCAAACAGACAGGAAGCGAATATAAGTTTCTGATCTACCATGTTTTAAGTGTGCGATAATAGGACCTTACCTCATTTATCATGATCATCTACTTTATTGTGTAAAGGATCTTTTAGTTACCTCCCCGCCCATCCATGTACACAGAAGGGCCATGTACATGGCGAAGCTAGAGACTGTAACCTGAGGATTGGGACAAATTAAAGAAAAAAATGTGATTTAACACAATTACAAAAAAAAAAAGATTAGGTTAGGGTCAAACAAAAACCATTTTTATGAAACTGAATTACAACAAATGACATTATACCTAACTCTTCCGGGTTTCCACAGCACTCTGATACTTGCTTAAACAGCTCTCTTAACCCGCCCTATTATAAAGTACTGCACATACATTTTCTTTTTCCTCAGTCATTTGCACACTGGCTGGCTGTTATTTCTGACCAGCTTCTCAGTAACTTCTGCCCGTGTAGTTACAGGTTCTGTACAGTAGACTCTACGGTTTTGATACAACACTCGTTCTCTCTGGCTTCTGGACAGGAAGAAGGGGTTACCTTCAGGGGTCCAGTGCTCTTTAGGCACTTCTGCAATCAGGCAGTGGTAGAAGGGGTGTTCTCCAAAACCATCCTCTAGGAGATCTGTAAAATGGGGGAGGAGGAGACAGTGTTGACTTTTGTAGGTGTCAGGTAACAGCTTGTTGCCTCCCTGAGGCCCCACTCTCCCCACCTCACCTCCCCCCCGCCACGACTTCGTTACCTTTCTCGGTTAACATTACTTGATCTTCCATGTATTCATATTTAGCCAGTTCCTGGGAATGATACATATAAAAGAAAGGACAATGAAAGTCTTGTCCAGCCCTGCCAGCTCACAGAAGGGGAAATGGGGTAGGCGGGGTCCGGTGGTGACTGGCATGGAACTACTGGACCTGACCCGGGCTGGGGTTGGCGGGCTGAGAAAAGGGAATTATTGACTGGGCAACATCTCAGAACCGAAGATATCAACTCCCCGAGGAAACGGAACCTCCCTCACCCTCCGCCCTAAGGAGAGCCGGGCCTTTTCCCTACCTTGATCAGTCGCAGGATGTCACTGCAGTCAGAGGCAGTGGCTGGACGGATCTTGAATTTAGCCATTTTCGTCTTTTGCTTTTCTTCCCTTTGCGCACCAGGCCCCTGTACTTGAACAGCAGGAGGAGGTGGTTCCTCATTCGTCTCCCGGGAGCGTCCTCTTCTCAGTCAGGCTGGCACCATGACCCGGCGAACCTCAGTGTTAGACAGAAAACTGGGAGAGTTGCTTTGGGAAGCTGCGCAGCTAAGTTGTGGCAAGACCTTGCCTTTTAAGTCCGCTGGAGCTCCTCCTCGGGACCGTGAGATGGAGCGATCACAACCAGTAAGGCTGCGAGCCCGCGGGAGCACCTCCCTCTTCCGGGCTCTCTCGTGACCCTGAAACCGATGGCGCAAACCGGGAGGGCGGGACAGGGCGAGGTGCGCCACTGCGCTATCAAGGCCTTGCGTCCCCTAGCGGCGCCTCAGGGATCCTTCCAGGAAGCCTATGAGTGAGTGCCCGAGTGTGCCCTAGTAACCTCTGTAAATAGAAAATGCGGATTGCCCCTGTGACCCCCGGACATTGCTGAGAAAAGCAAACTCAGAAAGCCTGACTTTTGAGGATGACAGAAAGATTATTCTAGCCATTTTCAAAGTGTGATCGGGAGGTGTAATTTTTTCCCCTTTTGTTGTAATTTTCCACAGGCAGTTCATTGCTATGTGGTGATGTCATCGTTTTCATGACTAAAGGAATGTGTGTGTATTTGCATTTTTGTTTTGTTTTTGAGACAGGGTCTCTCTGTGTTGCCTTGGCTGTCCTGAAACTCTCTATGTACAACAGGCTGTCCTAGAATTCACAGCTCACAGAGATCTGCCTGCTTCTGCCTCCCCAGTGTGAGGATTAAAGCATGCACCACCATGTCCTGATCTTCTTGTATTTTCTCTAATTCCCTAAGATCAAATCTTAGGATTCCTTAATTTCTTTCCTTCTAGTTCGGCAGTTTTCAAACTGTGGGTCACAATCCTTGGGGGTCGCACAACCCTTTTACAAGGGTCACCTAAGAACACAAATATTTACATTACAATTCATAACAGTAGCTAAATTACAGATATGAAGTAGCAATGACATAATTTTATGTCTGGGGACGACCACACATGAAGAACTGCATTAAAATGTCGCAGCATTAGGAAGATTGAGAACCAGTGTCCAATGACTAAAGTTGTAAAGTATTTTCTTTTTACTTCCCCCTCCTTATTTCCTTCTTAAATCTCTGTTCATTCCTGTGGACTTTCCTTCTGACTGAGGGATGTACTTCCTAATTTCCTTTAATGAAGTTTTGATTTTGTAAAAATATCTCAGTTTTGCATATTGTGTATGTCAGCTTACATTGTTGAAGGATTTATGTCACTGCTTATAGATTTTGAGGTCTGGAAGTTTTCTTTCAGCACGCCGATATCTGATCATCTCCTGCCTTCCTTTGCTGTTGTAACCCTTACTTGCTCTAGTTCATGTGTTTCTCTTGTTTCCTTTAATTTTTTATTTTGAAGTAATTCTAAGCTTACTGAATATGTGTTGATATCATTACTCCAATAACTACAAGAATTTGTGCCTGTGTTACATTTTCTAGGCTTTTCAGAGGTAAGCTCCTTGGAGTCATTAAATTTGAGATGTCCAGAGATCAAAATGTTTGGGGGGGCAGTTAGGTTTGCATATTCTGGATCACGCCCACTAGAATAACTATCCAAGTCTCTGAGGAATGTCTTTTCTTTTGCTATGGACTTTCCTGGACAGACTCTTCCATGGCCTTGCCTGGGCTCCATAATTATCAGAAGATTCGTTTTTTTGTAATGAGAGACTGCATCAGATGGTATCCAACATCTAGGCTGTCCTGTGAGGTGTTGAACTGTTATCACATGGCCTCTCCTAACATTTAGTAAGTGACTTTGTCTTTATTAACTAGTAACATCCTGTATGTAGAAATGAAAGCTGAAAGGCATTTTCTGTTACCCCTCCCACTCTCCCATGACTCAGTGCATTAGTGAGTCACCCATGAGAGCTTATGCAATGTTCTTTTTCAAAGAGCTTTAAAAATAGCACCCATTCTACCTGAGTTAATGCCAATTGTGTCTCTCCTGACATGGATGACCAGGCCCTTCCCTCTGCTTCTGTTTAGAATGCTGGGGCACTTACAGGAGTTTTGTTATATATTTACTGCTAACAATACATTAGATTTCTATGACTCAGAATCAAGAATAGCTTCCTCCTGAAGCAAGAATTTTCCATTTTGGTTGACAGTATATTAGAATAGTGATTGAACCTGGCATTTAGCAAACTTTTATTTCGTTAATGAGTCAACATTTCAAGTTGTTGAATCTTATATGAGGTACTTGGGGATTATAAAAGATCACCAAGTATTACAACCCATTCTAAAGTCGCACAGTTTACTTTTAGAGATGTGTTTGTAATTTACTATAGCGGATTTGAATCTTTATGATAAAGGGAGTTCCTATCACTGAGATGGAAAAGGTGGGGAAAATAGAAGGAATAAAAATGGCCAAAGTAGAGTTTTTTGTTCCTTGTCTCACTTCAACGTTCCACAAAATTCAATACCCCAATGATTTTTAGGATATTTCATGTGGACCATGACCCCAAGAAGCCAATTATTTGAAAACAGGTTGTCTTAAGCCATCCCTTTTATATTGGTTGTCTGTTGTCACATAGAAAATCACCGCAGATTCAGTTGCTTAAAATAAGACACATTTATTATTGGAGAATCTATAGTTCAAGAGTCTAGGCATGGCTGCCACTGAATCCTTTGCTCATTGTGTCAGCCAAGCTGTCTTTCTACATGGAACAGTCCAAGTCCAAGTTCACTCAAATTATTGACCTTAGCAGTGTCCATCTCTTTGTTAAACAGATTTATTTTCGTTTTTTAATTGGATGTATGCCTTTGGGTTTGTGTGTGTCTGTATCTGAATGTGAGTGCCGGTGCCTGAGAAAGCCAGAAGACATTAGATGCCTTAGAGAAGTGGTTTTCAAGCAGTAGGTCATGACTTCTTTGGATCTTATATCAGATGTTTATATTACAAGTCATAACAGTAGCAAAATTATAGTTATGAAGTAAAAACAATTTTATGGCTGGGGGTCACCACAACATGAGGAACTGTATTTAAGGGTCATAGCACTAGGAAGGTTGAGAACCACTGCCATAGCGCTAGAGTTACAGGTGGTTGTGATCGGCCAAATGAGGGTGCTGGGATCAGAACTCAAGTTTTCTGAAAGAGTAACAAGTACTATTAACTACAAAGTCATCTCACCATGCCCCGTAGTATTCATTTCTTGATTGAAGGCCTTGGCTTCTTGCTGCCTGTTATCTGGAAACTGCCCTCAGCTCTTGCAAGCTGATAAGAGTTTCTAGGGAGAGCCTGTGTTTCCTTGCCATGTGGTCTTACCCAACGTGGCCATTTATAAGCAGAATATTCTCTTAGGTAACTAACTAGACAGTTAAAAATTCTATTTGAATAAAAACACCCCACATAAAATTCATTATCTTAAATATTTTTAGTTGGGGTTTGTTTTGAGACAAGGTCTTTTTGTGACCTGCTACCTCCTCCTTCCAGGTGCTGGGATTAAAGCTGCTAACCACCATGATGCCCAGCTTTCTATAAGCTCTTTTAGTGCATAGTATAACAATCCAGAGCTTTCTCATCTTGCAAAACTAAAACTCTGTAACCAGTAGTAATGGCTCCCCCTTTTTCCCTTTCCACCCAGCTCCTGTTAGCCATGTTCTACTTTTCATTTCTAAGAGTTTGAACTGCTTTTAACAGACTACATAAGTAGAATCACAGTTTGTCTATTTATTTATTTACTTTGCAACTGGATCATTTTACTTAACATAATGCCCTCAAGGTTCATCATTATTTTAGCACAGGACAGGATTACCTTACTTTAAAACTGAGTAATATTCCTTCTTATACAGTCCTGTGTTGTCCAGGCTGATCTCAAACTCACGAGAATCCTCCTGCCTTAGCCTCATGCCTATTGGAATCATAAACCATCACACCTGGCTTTAAATTCTTGATATTTTTAATCAAGAAGTGAGATTATTCCATCTCACTCATTTGGCTTTTAATGTTTTGGAGGATTTACCACTGTTTACCATAGTGGCTGCACATTGTATAGTTCCATCAATAGTGTACAAAGGTTTCAATCGTTCCATTTTCTTAACTACCACTTGCTTTTTTCTGATTGTTTCCTATTTGATAATGGCTGTCTACAAGTATAGGTGTGCATGCATTTTCTTCTAGTGCACAGGTTGCCTTTTCATTCTTGATTGTTTCTGTTACTTGAAGTTTTGTAGTTTGATGTATTGCTGTCTCTTTTTTGCTTTTATCTGACACATTAGAGTCTTAAATAATGGGCCGTAATTGTGAGAATGGCAACTTATCACTCATACCTCATTATACTAGTTAAAAGCAAGTCACAATCCCAGTTGCATGAAAAGGAGGGGAGAACACAAAGGCATAAGTACCAGGAGGCAGAATTATGAAGTCTATTATTGAATCTACTGGACCATGTTTTGAAAAGGACGATAATTAGTTAACTTATAACAGATATTTAGTTAAGTCTAGCAGTGTACTTCGAATATGATTTGTATCTATCATCTGTTAATGCTATTAAGAAGGTAGAAACAGGTCAGGGGATGTAGCTCACTGGTAGAGTGCTTGCCTTGTAAACATGAAGCCCTAGTCAAGGTCAGAGGCTAGGGA